TTTATAAACCCCTCTGACTTCCTTACAACCCTATCCTGGTTCTCTCGAGGAGCTGGGTTGATGCCAAATTGTGACAAAAAAGTTGGATTTTTCACTGCAATTTATGCAAGCGATGAGGCATATGTAGACCACAAAAGATGCCTTTTGGGTTATTCACTGAGGCCTGAAATAGGAAAAGGAGCTACTGTCTCATCTTCAAGTCCCCCTTGAAGCAAAGGTAAAAGGAACACTCACAGAAAACCCAAAATTGACTTCTCAACTCTAAGCTAGTTGCAGACCTCCCTCCCCTTTCCTGATCCTCCTCTTTAACTTGTTTGTGGTCCAGTCGGGGCTCCTGCTGAGCTGTCTTCAGCCTGGCGTGCAGGTGGAGCCCGCTAATTCTGCACTTTCTGTTTTTTCCCTGTAGACTAGAGGCTGAAGAGGAAGAAGTAAGTATTCCTTAAGTGCAAGGAGTGCCACCTCATGGCCTGTTGAAGAATCCCAAAGCTCTACCCAGTTTCGTGTCCTAGTATTTTTTCCATATACACGAATATATGAAAACATACACAGTGTATTTTCACACACACACACTGAAATGCAAGTCACTTGCATTGCCTGTCTACCCATAAACTACACTTTAAGGATAATTTAATGCAGAGTCTTTGCATTCACATACAAACAATTTTTTCTTTAAGATTAAGACCAAAACAGCTGTAATAATCCAGATGCAAATAAGAACTTGAGTATTTTAGTTTGGAGTGTAAAATTCCTGCATGCTGGCTGGCAGGTAAGAAGCAGCTGCTGGAGAGCAGCGGTTTCACTGCTGTCATTACTGTCAGGCAGCAACAACCATTTGCTCACAGGGGAATGTGGGTCCGATGTAACCTCAGGAGGTCACCCAGTCCAACATTTTAGTGGCTTTTCAATATCAGGTGGCTAACTGCAACAGCTGCTGTCTGGACACCATGTTCAAGGGTGAACATCCCCAGCAGTGATAAAGCAAACAGCTGCGGTGACATTCTCCAGCCAGAGTAGTTTGCATAACCCTGTCATCACCATGAATTGCTCCAACCACTTTAGAAGATATGTCCATCTTTTTCTCAGAAACTCACTGTTTGTTCTTTCTTGCTATTACCCTTCAGTACAGTGTAACTTGCTGTATTTTAAGGATGTATAGGGCTGTTGTGTGTATGGAAATTACAACAGAAGGAAGGGACTCCAAAGGAACACTTGAGGAAGAAGAAAATCCTTCCAAACTGTTTAATTCTATAGCACGTCTTGCTGCTGCAGCAAGAGAAGCCTGAAGTTTGAAATAGCTACTTTGGATGGCAGGAATTACTCACTAGTCCTCCAGTTACGATCAAGTCCTCTCTAGCCTTTGATTTTGTAAAATATTATTACCTGGTATCCTTTATTACTGACACTGGTACAGTGGCAGGTAGCACAGCCTGTTCCAAATGAACAGCATTTAGTTCTCTTGAAAAATGTTCCTGGAAAGGAGGCTCAGGTAACTAATTCCTACACAGTCTGAGCAGCAGCACGTGCTCCCATGGAGAAGTGTTCTTCCACCTAGACATAAATAACCTGCTCATCAGCTTACACATAGGAATTAGGGTTGAACGTGCTGTAAAAATACACTTCCCATGTGACCTAGATATCCCAAGTGAAAACAAACAGTACTTGGACTACTGGAGATGGCGAAGTATAGAGGAATGCACATTATCACTTATGAAACATTAGAGAAGCAGACTATTTATATTACATATCTTCTTGCAAGATAATAATTCATTTTTATTAATCCAGAGAAAAATTATACTTCCCACTCCTTCATCAGAACTCACCAGGTATTATGAAAACTTCCAAGGTAATATTTCCACAAAGTAAAAAATACTTGAAAATATTTGACCTTCCAGATTTCTTGTCTGATAACCAGTTGCAAGGCAACTCAAGAGCAGCCTCCTCTAATAATGGAAATAGCTAAGTAACCAATCCCCTCTTAGGTAGTTTAACCTCTAGAAATTGTAACCTGAATGGTTCTGAGCAATTCCAGTAGATGACTACAGAAGGAAACTGCTTTTGCCTTTAGTTTGCAGAACCATTTGTTGACGTCTCTCATACCTGATTTGTCTCATAAGTATATTAACTTCTTTCTCAGACTTCCAGTCAGGCAACTTATTTTGCAGCAGTCCAGTGAAACATGTTTGTTCAGGATTCATTACTAGTTTGTGTTGTTATAGGCAGTATCTAAATTCACTCAGGACAAAGTGAATTGATAGAGAAAATGACATTTTTCATCTTTGACCCAAATGTACCAGCATATTTTAAAAACATACTGGTGGTCATTGTTGTAATTATGGGAAGGACACTGTACTCAAGAGCAAAATCTTACAGAAACTGCATTCACAGTAACATACCCCACAAACCAAGGCCATGACCTGTTAATAACAGTCTGCATTAGGTAGCAACAGCAAAGCTGATCCACCCAGCTCTTTGTCACCTTTATCTCTGTGTAAAAGAGACCTTGGCACCATAATACTTCATTGTAAAACACACACACATGGGCAGAGGTGATGTTTTTCCACAGCTGGTCCAAAATTGCTCAGTTGTTTTGAAAACAGATCTATTTTAGGACACTTGTATATTTGAGACAGGATTTGCCTATAGCTTAAGTTCCCCCACCCCACCAGGCTATATTGTTCACTGAATTCTACAGGCCAAAGTCCCTCATTTGTTTCCTGTTTGTTGTGCAAAAGAACACTGCTGATGTAAACCATTAGAAAAAATAATCCATTTAACAATACCCACAATCCTCCCTTCTCCTTTACTCTTACCAGTTGCAGTGGGAAAGACAAACCAGGAAACTGATGAGAACAACAGTCAGCTAAAAGTGTCTCAAAAAAAGCAGCTTCATGATGTGGAGACCATTCATGATGTGCATCTAGTTCTCATCTTAGAAACACAGAGTAGTACAAACACTTTGGAGCATTACTGTCCTTGTAAAAGTCAAGTTTCACCAGGAATGCTGACAGATTCTGCAGTTTTAAGAAGGCAGTATGGAAAATCAACATGTCAAATCTCATTTCAGAATCATTATTTTCTAAAATTTTCCACAGAAATGCAACAAAAGTGAAACTGTACTAAAAATACGATGGAGAAGGCAGAGGTCAATGCAGTCCATATTCACCAACACCTGTTTTTACAGGGAAATTTAAGAAGGAAAAGTACTAATACAAAAAGGATCTATGAAACCAGACTGTTACTAGATACACAAGTGAGCCCACTGCCGAGTAACCCAAGATGCCCACAACTGACACGTGAAACCCAGGCTTAAGGAAAATCTAAAATTCAGTAACCATTTATTCAGAATATGCAAGAACAATCCGATTCACGTTAAACATCTGTAGTGCAAGTATTTAGAAAATACACCAAAGTTTAAAAAGAGTAAAGGCATCATTCACCAAATTCCATTGCACATCAGTTTATTTCCCAATTTCAAAAGGGAGCAGCAAGTAATTAATTATATAAAGGCAAACATATGTGCATCTGAGGCTAATATAGCCATCTGAAGTTGTAGCAACAATATATGAAAGAGTAATTTTTTCTTTTTTTTTTTTTAAACAAAAATATTTATAATAAGTTTTACAAGTAAGGAAACAAGCTGTTAAACTGTTGAACCAGTTAAATACTTTCAGTGCAGCAAGAGAACTGTTAACATTTCAGAAAGTTTATAGAGAAAACACATCTGCTCAGCATTCATAACTTGTCACAGTACAATGGTTTCAGTGCTCAACTGACTGGCTGGTTGGATACTACCCACCAGGCTGGCTGGCTTTCAGGAGAAGCAAAACAAAAGACTGTCAGCTAATGTCAACTTAATGCCATTTTGGCCTGTAAAGCACTGGAAGTTTAACTGAGAAATCACGAAGGCTTTTATGATACAGCCAGGAACAGTCTCTACCAGTGTTGCTACCAAAATTCCTCACAACTTTTACTTACTGGTATCAGCGTACGGAGGTCAGTTACTCATTCACATAATACCTGTATCCTAAAAACTAGCCAACTTCCAACAGAGTTTGTGCAAACCATCCGAAAAAGTGGGTGGAGAGTCTAGCTGGGATCCTGGACCAGAAGACACACAAAAGACTGAAGTTCATTAGCTTCCCTTTGACCACTCACACTTCTAACAGTATAGCTAACTTTTAAATCCTTTTTGGTAACAAGCTCCACAAAATTTATTTTTTTTTTTTTAATTGAGCCTTTAAGTATAGGACCTTCTGCTCATCTACCAAGTGTCTTGTGCTTCATTTCCAAGCACCTCCACTGGCCTTCTGCATTTTCTCTTTTCCTGCTACAAACCACCCATTAAACCTAAATGGATGCTTTGTTGTGTTTTTGATGCCTACTCCTCTCCCATCTTTGACAAAAGCCCATATTTGAGATTTTCACTCTTGTCTTTTCTAAAAGGTCATAGTTGAAAAGGATCCACCTGAGAGTGTAACTATGGCTTATGCTAAATATTTCCTATTCTAAAAATACCCTCCACTTAATTACATTGCAGTAAACAGAAAAATTCTTATCTATGACAGGTGGTTAACCTCAAGCATGGCCAAAAACACTTAAAAAAAAAAAAAACAACACAAAAGGGTCTTAAGAACAAAGATAAATTGGCAGCATTAAAAATGTCTTAATTTTAAAAACTGCCTTGAAAGCACGTAGTTTGGCAAATATCCACTTTCTCTCGTAATTACCCAGATTCTGCAGAAATTACATTGGCACAAACATCCACCTACTAAACCTTGAGCATTCGACTCTTTGGAACACAAGTAGCAGCTGGCTTCCTAGCCAGCACTGATGTGTGACTCCACAGAACTCGCAGTTCAGCACACTGACAGCCATTTACAGTCCAGTTCAGAACAGGCACACGGGGAAGTAACCGCAGCTGAGCAAATCCTGAGCAAAGTCGTTTTCAAGCAAAGTTTTCAGCCCTGGTTTATCTTTTTGAGACAGCTTTCTGAAAGGGTTCATGCAAGACAAGAATCAAGGTGTTCATTTATTCTAGACTCCAAAACCTCAGCCTGGCAAACCGGACAACTGACTTGTTTATCCTGCCTTACAGCAGCGCTGGAACTTGCAGAGGACACTGTATATTCATCTTTGGTTTTCATGGGTGTATTTATACCTGAAGTAACATCAGTACCCCCTCTTTTAATGAAATAGTTTTCAAAGGCAGTTCTGTTTTCCATTGTTGGCCATTGTTGCAGTGTATTGGTACACTCAGACCTTTTTTCCCCAGATGCAACCTGAGCTGGTTTTATCTGTTCAAAACAAATTTGTTTCGGTGGCCTGTTATAAAGTGGCATAACCCTCTTGCCTTTTGCAGAATCATGGTTTGATTTTTCTTCCATAACACGAGCAATTTTAACAGGCGATCCATTAACATTCCTGTAAGCTTTTGTATCAGCAACGGAGGGCTTAGGAAACTCACGCTTTGAAGCCAAGTTGATTTTCTCACTGGCATCATCAGTATAAAGTGGAAAGAAGATGCCACTACGGGGTGATTTTTCAAATTTTATCTCATTTTTAGGGATTGGTATTGTCCTTACTGCTGAACAATGCTGTGAACCAGGTGCTTCACTGTTTCCAACACTGCTGCTGGAATTTGTGCTTTTTTCTGAGAGTGCACTGTTTTGTCCTCCTCCAAGCCGATATCCCTTTCCACTAAAAGGCATCAGATCTTGCATACCACGGATTTGTGTCTTGCCTGCAAAATAAGAAGAGAAGAACATAAGAAAAGTTAGTAACTTCTCCATATATAAATCATGGGTGTTGTAGTTTACATGTTTCACCCGAAAAATGTGCTGCTTGAAAATAGTGCAGCAAACTAAACCTTTTGCGGACACTGAAGTTGAGAGGAGCCTAGAAATGCACAAATAAAATGGGCCCTGTTCTTTGCTACATAACAGTAAAAAAAACAAATAGTAAACAAAGCTCATGCAGCCATTTATCTGTATTTGTTCAAGGAACTGTTTGTGCAAAAACAGTTTGAAAAAGAAAAAAAATAATTATTTTAAATACCTTTGTTGGTTGACTCGGAATTTGGAAGTTTTGCTGGCTGAGTTTTCTCCTTGGATTTCTTAGAAAAGTTCTCTGGCTCCTTCACTTTTGTGAATGTACCTCCACACGTCTCTTGATGCTCAGCCCACCAAAAGTCTCGTGCAGAGGGTGCTCTGTTCATCGAACGTTTCACATATCCAAAGTAAGGCCTTCTATACTGACAGGGGCCATTGCATCGCCACCAGTGCTGGCGGTACAAATCCACCTCATCATGAAAACTGTGATAGATCTAGGTTAAAAAAAGAAAAAAAGTAATCATTCAGAAAGTTTCTAATTTTATATCACTAGCTCCACAATATATTTTTTTAAATTTATTACCATCTTTCATTACTGCTGTGATTTTTACATTACCAGTTAAAAAAGCTGAACTGGGGTAAAATTTGATCAACATTTAGCTACCATTAAAACAAAACTTTAAAAAAAAGACAGGATGTGTAGGAATATGTCCTGGCTATCTTGAATTGCAAGAAAATAGATTAATTGGAAAATAGATTAATTGGAGACCTAATTAATGTTTACAAATATGTTAAGGGCAAATGTCATGAGGATGGAGCCAGGCTCTTCTCA